TAGGGGTGGCTTCTGTGAGAAGCTGCCAGAAGCTTCCCCCATGTCCAACAGAACCAATGCCAGCCAGCTCCAAAACAGACCCACCACTGTCCTAGGCTGAGCCCATCAACAACAGTGGTAGGGCCTCTGCGATAGCATAGCGAAGAAGGGGAAGAGAAAAAAAACACTGCACAATTGCAGCCAGAGAGAAGATGTAAGAGAAACAACTCTGCAGACACCAAGGTCAGTGAAGAAGGAGGGGGGAGGAGATGCTCCAGGCACCGGAGCAGATTCCCCTGCAGCCTGTGGTGAAGACCATGGTGAGGCAGGCTGTCCCCCTGCAGCCCATGGAGTTCCATGGTGGAGCAGATGTCCACCTGTAGCCTGTGGAGGGCCCCACGCCGGAGCAGGTGGATGGCTAAAGGAGGCTGTGACCCCATGAGAAGCCTGCGCTGGAGCAGGTTCCTGTCAGGACCTGTGGCCTGTGGAGAGAGGAGCAGACGCTGGAGCAGGTTTGCTGGCAGGGATTGTGACACCGTGAGGGGGCCCACGCTGGAGCAGTCCCTTCCTGAAGGACTGCACCCCATGGAATGGACCCAGGCTGGAGCAGTTCATGAAGGACTCTAGCCTGTGGGAAGGACGCAGGTTGGATAAGTTCATGGAGAACAAGGTCTTTGATAAACTGGAAAAGGGATCTCAATACATAGGATATAATTCTACTAGAATAAAAGCAAAGAACTGCACTCAGATATATATGACTAACTGCATAAACATGAAAAGGGGAGTAACTAACTTAGTAGGAGCTGCTGCTACAGCAGATCACAAACTGCTCCGAAAAAGGCAGGAATAGATAACAAAGAGCAAGAATTTGCAAAACACTTAAGCAATCTTCTCATACTTGATAACAATGCACTATGCAGACACTGTCCATTTTCCATACTGTATTTTAAGAAAAATAAGGATGACTGGAGATAACATAAGAGGGGAGCAGTAAGACTGATAATGCTGAAATAACTCCAATTACTTAATCTACGCAGGGGAGGAAAAGGAGCTGTTAAGCAATCTTCAAATACAGAGAACACTGACAGAAAAGCACAAACTGCCTCATCCACTAAAGATCAGAATAAAAGGACAGCAGAAGGATTGAGATAAGAGGACAAACAATAAAAAAAAAAGATTGTTCAATAGATTTCTTTGGGAATGTGGAATCACTTAGAGATCTCCAGCAAACACATTTGTCAGATACAGCTTAAAATCAGTCAATCTTGTCTTGAAGCACAGGAATTGTTGGGCATTGCTCAGCATTTTACTTCACCTGTACTAAGAAGTTGCCCCTGGGACAAGACTGAAGCACAGTAAAAATCAATCCACTAAGCACTGTTATGGTTAAACATAAGCAGGCACCTTTGGGGTTTTAGCAAAGCAATAAAAATTCAGGCTTGCCCAGCATGAGGACACAGTAATGGTTCAAAATATTAAACAACAGCACTAAATACCTTAGCTGAAGTAATGTAAGCTGCAAGTAGTGGCAAAAGCTCTTTATTTACATTCTTTGAAATCTTCATAAGAGCCTGACAAGTCAGGTCCATAGCTATCAGGTAACTGATGCAGTTGTTGCCATCTACACAAGTGATGGAACCCAGGGGGTCACCTACAGTGGACAGTTTTCCACCACCTGAAAGAGTGACTTACTGGCTACAGGGATACCCAGACTAATTCCATGTTGCCCAACAGTTCACAGAAACGCAGTTATGCCACTAACATAAAAAAACTTTAAGAATTAAGGAGTATTTAAACTTCTGTTCCAGACAGGTGATTAAAACCTCCCCAATTCCTTTCCCCTCAAAATTTAAAAACCAACGTTGAGACAGAACCAGTTCCAACACAAACTCTTCTCCCCTGTGCCTGCTGTAACTATTCTCACAAGCTTCTGCCTACTTCTGATCTCCTAACAAGGGAAACCATATTAGTTCTGTCTGACACAGGTGCATTGGGAAGCTCAGAGGAGTTCATTTTCAACTCTACAATTGTGAAAACTAAGTACATTACTCAAGAAATACAGACTTTTACAGGCAGACTAAGAGGACTCCAACAGTTTTGATTTTGCCAACAGAATTTACTGTTGAATCCGCCTCTTACCACAGAACTCAGTGACTTTAAAATATGCATTACTTAAGACAAACAAGAAAAAAACCTCATCTGCCACAAAACAGGAGGTGGAAGCTTATTGAAAGAATCAACTTGAGAAATAACTGACAAAATACTCTGTAATATCTTTCATTTCAGGCTTAGTTCATGCTTTTCATTATTTTTTATACTTTTTAAGATCTTTTTAAATACTTATATTTGTCAGATTGATTACATGTCCTACAAAAAGTTCTCAAAAACAACCAAAGAACCTCATGTACTAAAGTAAGCCTCATTTCGGTGTTTTAGTTAAGATCACCAAAGCAATACCCAAGTTTCTTAAGGCTAAAGAAGGCTTAGATATTCAAAGCAGACTTGATAAAACTAAATTCCTACTTAGACATCAGAAAACAACTGATGTCTCAACTGAGACTATACAACAACTGTTAGACATTGCTCAGGCAGCTCAGGGAACACCAGGGAACACAGCAGCACAGAGCTTTTGCAATGTAGGGACGGAAAATTACATTTAAAATTTCATTAAAATATATTGAAACAGCACATTATAATCCCTTTAAGATTCACACAGAACTCAATGAGACAGGAGCATATTATCAAGCTGCACAAAATGTAGCAAGTTATGCAATCATTTAGTACCTTTTATAAAGTAGGTAGAAGCAGAAAGCTAAAAAAAAGAGGCAACTGGTACTAACGAATCAGGCAGGAATTTACACAAACACAGAAAAGTTACAGCTGAAGGTTAAAACCACAAAATTCACAACTCTGATTCAAAAAGGTCTTGTCATGTCCCTGGAGGATGAGCACTCCGACACAGTATCACAATGACTAGGAAGGAGTATAAGACCCTAACAGACATCTTTGATACTGGCCCCAGTCAGAAAGGAGAATACTAAGCTAATAAAACCTTTCAAATGTATCAGACCACCTGAGTAAGACAAAATAAGCAGCCAGAATAAGACAAAAAAAAAAAAAAGAAATAATAAGGGAAAATAGAATCAATAACTAGGCAATCAAGTTACTGACTTAAATACTGCAGGAAGGGGAGAGATGCTGCAGAGAAGACAATATGAATAAGTCTGGTGATCGCCTGTATACATTATTTATACACACTGCACCCTTTATGGTATCAAAAGCACAGGGAGCCAAGTGCTTTCTGTCTAGTAACCAAACTCTGACAGGTGATAAAATGCTACAAAAACAAACTAATCGAAAAACTGAGAGAAAACAAAGTAAAAGAAGATATCAGAGCTAAACCTCCAGCCAAGTAAAATATGGCATATAAAACAGACTATGAATTCTCTCTCTGTTCCCACTTCACGTACGGAAAAATGGGAAATTATGATCGCAAAACCAATGACCACAGGACTGATTTAACTACAGATATTAATGATAACATTGTAATACCAAGTTAATCCATCCTTTCAGTAAAATAATTCCATTATAACTCACAAAAATAAAATCTGGGCTTTTCTTAACTATTTCTTTAGGGTAGATACTAGTACACACCTATGCTCATATTAATGCTGCCCAGAACAACAGGCTGGACTTAAAGAACAAACTTACAAGCCACATACAGCCTTTTTATATAAAATGACTTAAGACAGAGCAGCTCTAGGTAGCTGCCCATAATATACTCTGATTTTAACTATTAAAGTTATGATCCAGTTTACATACTGAAAAAAAAAAAGCAGTTAATATAGTCTATAGAATATTCATATTCCATGGCAGTGGATGTTTTCTTAACTAGTACTGCAAATGTTCTCTTGTAGCAACGTTTCAGTTCTGCATATTCTTGTGGAAAACAAACATCTGAAATGTTTCAATAAATGCAATAGTGTTCCATGCAAATGTTTATGTAGCCAAAGAAAAAAAAAGCACGTTTTTTATCAAAGATGACAGTATAACTTACACTTGAACTCATCATAATTGTCTAAAGTGAAGACTAAAATAGTTTAAAAGGTGTTACATACAACATCTAAATTCACAAGTAGGGCGTTAAACAGGCAATTGCGAGTTAAAGTTGATACAATGAAAAACAGCATTGAGTCTCCTCATAAAATGTTTCACTGAGATACCGTGTGGGTTTTACATAACACCTGCAACACCAAAGTGGCAATCCAAAAGTCAGATTATTTTTTTTCCCCCCTGAATTTAAAAGACCTGAAATATAACTTATGTGCAACAGTAATGTATCTTCTACAGCAAGTTAATAAATGGCAGAGGTGATGTTGAATCAGTAGCTGTTGTTACAAGAGTGTACAGTCATGTCTCTCTGGAAAATTAAAAAAAAAGGTATTCAAAAGCTGCCTGCCATTTTGCCACATAATTTAACAGCTTTCAAGAGAATTCAGCTAACTAGGGAAAAAAAGAAGGGGTAAGGACCAAATTAGGAGCTACATTAACCACCATTAAGTTCTCCTTTAAGGATGGATACAGAAGCCTCAAACTACAAATTAACCTAATTAACTGTGCTCTACACAGGTTTTACGTCCAACATTGTTTTAATGTATTAAAGCATTTCAGTTTTATGAAGAAGTTCACACAGATAAACTACAGTTCAGATGTCCAGACAGCTGCAGCGAAATAATTTTAATTCTTCAAAGCTCAGGGTTAAGCTTCAGCTACAGAAACAAATCCAAAGAAACCTACACACACACACACTTCCCCTCCCCCATAAAATCCAACTTTAAGTCTCAATTAATAGGCTCATTATCTTTAATACTGCAGAACTAACTTATTAGAGAATTCCCTTGATTCTAGTGTTCTGTGTCATCCACACAGCACAGCTAATAGTAACTGTATTCTAAAAAACCCATTCACAGTTGTTTGAAACCATTATATGACTTTAGAAAGTAAAACATATAACCTCTTACCTGAGCATGAAAATTTGACATAGTCGTTGTCTCTATATCTTTCTTTCCCAAAATCTCCATTTTCACTGGTGAATTGGGAAAATTAAACGAAAAGTAGTCTAAAAAGTCAGGTAAATAAGTAGCTGCCCCATGAACAATACCCATTACATAGTAAGCTGCACAGTTTTCATTTTCACTAAAAACCAGACCCACAAACTCTTCTGCAAATCTCTCCATCTCCACAGGAGATAAGTGGGAGAGTTCATTACTGTAGGCATGGATAACTGATGCACCTCCGTTAGGCTGGTGCTCAATATGAATCAGCTGTTTGAACTCCAATGTGTCCAACCTTTTGAGTTTATTTTGAACCCGTGGCTCCTTTAACGAGACAAATGGAAACTCACTGTTCTCTGGTATCTTGGACTCACAGTCCTTCTTGGGATCCATATTTTTCCCATTGAAATCCTTAAGATGATCATCTATGATGCCTTTGGCTTCCTGATCCTCAATATCAGAAACCAATCCTGAGCAGATGGTCTGAATGGATTTGCTGTACATTTTTGGACGCTTCCTCTTCTCGTTCTCTTTATGTTTCTTTTTCTTTTTCTTCTTAACTTTTTTAATCTGTAGCTCTTCTGCATTGGTTTTTGGTTTCTCCTTCCCACCTGTCAAGAGAAAAAAAAAAGATCTCTTAAGTATCTTCATATATAAAATATGTATTTAAAGATCAGGATGCAAAGTTACCAAAACCCTCACCACTGCACACAAAGACCAGAGACCAATACCAAGGGTCACAATGTGTATCTTGCTGAAAATGAATGCTAAAATACACCTGGCACGTTCATACATATCCTGGGCTGCATCAAGAGAAGCATGTCCAGCAGGTCAAGGGAGGTGATTCTCCCCCTCTATTCTGCTCTTGTAAGGCCCCACCTGGAATACTGCATCCAGTTCTGGAGCCCCCATCACAAAAGAGACAAGGAGCAGCTAGAATAAGTCCAGAGGAGACCACCAGGATGATCCGAGGGCTGGAGCACCTCTCCTATGAGGACAGGCTGAAAGAGTTGGGGCTGTTCAGCCTGGAAAAGAGAAGGCTCCAAGGAGATCTTATAGCGACCTGCCAGTACCTGAAGGGGCTACAAGAAAGCTGGGGAAGGACTTTTCATAAGGGCAACTAATGACAAAACAAGGGGAAATGGGTTCAAGCTGAAAGAGGTTAGGTTTAGATTAGATATTAGGAAGACACTGGAACAGGTTGCCCAAGGAAGTTGTGGATGCCCCCTCCCTGGAAGTGTTTAAGGCCAGGCTGGATGAGGCTTTGAGCAACCTGGTCTAGTGGAAGGTGTCCCTGCTGAAGGCGGGGGGATTGGAACTAGATGATCTTTGAGGTCCCTTCCAACCCGAACCATTCTGTAATTCTATGATATTACGACCAACAAATAAGCTGGGAAAAAAAAAAAGGAAATCACAAAAAAACAAGTTTCCCAAAGCTGCTTTTATGATGAGTCACAATCCTTAATCATACCCTTTAACTGGTCATCAGCAATTACTATATTAGAAAGTTCAGAGACATAAGACAGCTCTCAACAAATGTCGCCAAGCAAGGGGTTTACAAATGGTTAATGAGTATCAACCATCATGAGCAAGCCAAGATGTAACTGCCAGAACCTACCTTGTCAGATGGCTTTACATGGTCATTTTTCCAGAACCAAATAAACTTTGTTGAAATACACACAGAAGCCTATAAAAACTGACCCCATACTTTTTTTTTTTTAAAAAGGGGGGGGGCAACAAAACCATTCCCCCAAATACAAAACTAACTAAAAAACCCCCCAGCTAACCACCAAAAACCAAACCCTCACAAAACAAACTAGCTTCAAGCTTATATAATATGCCAGCTGAATTGAAAACAAACTGCAATGGCCTAAAGCCAAAAACTACTCATTTGGGGACATCACATTGAAATGATTCCCAAGGTAAACGTTCTTCCTTTTTTTAAAGCGTTTTTCTTCAAGTGCTTTTCAGGGGTTTTTCTGCAAGTAATAAACACAGTAGCAGAAAAAAAAAAAATCTGTCATTACACTGCCCTAAAATCTAGCAGTTAAAACCATTTCACAATTTCATAAATCAAATTACTGGGCATGTCACAGCACAAAATTATATTCACAAAAAGTGATTCAAGATCAGCAGGTTCCAACACAGAAGCTTAGTCTTGCAGTGAAATACACAATTTCTAAGTGATCTCAAATTCACAAGAGTTCGTTAACCAGTCACCACTACTATGCTGTCGGAGACCATCGCAATCCTCAGCAGGGAAAAAAAGGAAAAGGGGGTGGGGGGGAAAAAAAAGAAAAGGGAGTGAAATCACAACCATTGGTGCCTGGAATCACACACACCTGCTGACAACATTAAGAGGTTTGGATATGAAAGGTACAGAGATACTGGGAAGGAGAACAAGCAATTAAGACACTTGCCTCTGAGCCTCTTGAGGTTTGTGAGAGCAGTTACATACCTCTGGGGTTTCTGAAGTGGAGGCAGGTGAGCTAGTTATCCATCTACCTTCTATTTTCACATCTTGTAGTTGGGGAAGAAGTGCCCTGAGGTCACTCATTTCTTACTTAGCCTGAACAAGGAAGTGGGCTGTAGGATTTCTTAAATTAATCCACACAGTTAAGAGCTTTGTAGTTCTTTGTAGACTCCCCACTCTACATCAGATCTAACATAGCATCCTCCATGAGCACCATTTCACTTTTAGCAAAGTTCAACTGCTGAAAGGCACAGCATCCTCACCAAACTCCCTCCTTTCATTAGGTTAAATTTAATGTAAAACCAGCATGGGCCTCTGCAACAGGAGTGCTTCATCTGGTAGATGCGGTATTCACCATTTGTTAAAATCTTCTGCCACAAAAGTCTTTAAAGTGGGCATGGAAAAAACAGAGCAGCAATACTTTTACAACCAACCACCTCAACCTTAGAGGAGTCCTCAAAATAGTTTGCTGAGAGTGCCAGGGTACTTGAGCAATATGTCATCACCTGACAAAAATCACCTACCACTCACATTCTGGGGTATGTATTGTAATGGTGTCATGGCACAAGGTCCATTCAGGGGGAAATAAAAACAAATAAATGGTTTATGACAGTGGGACTTTCCATGTTATAGGCTTAGAAATCTCAATCCAAACCTCAAAATATGGACGACACAATAGACAATTTTTTTTCCCTTCTCCTGACCGCAGGAATATATAACTAGAGAGCATTCAAGAGTCTACGGGTGTTTCAAACTCTTAAAAATGCTTTAACTTACCATTTTAAAATTGTTTCACTCTAAACATGAAAATCTGTTACTATACTGACAGAAAATATAAAGAAGTCAAACATTTCCAGATACTGTATTAGTTGGAATATAGAAAATATGGAGTTATAGGACTGAATGCTGCAGCAAGGTGAGGCGGGGGAAGCAGGGGTTACCTATCAACCCACTTCACTTGTTCTCAAATGGAGCTCAGATTTTTGTAGGGACCAGTCACTCAGATCTGGGACTTCATGCATGGCAGGGAAAGGATGAGAATTTATATTCACTGGGGTACAATCAGCAGTAATATAACTGGCAATAAAATACAGCAGTTTCTAAGTTTAAAACAAGAAGCTCTCTGCTGTGGCAAGAGCTATATTACAGCTCTCATGCTTTAGTTTGTCTATAATGACCAAAAACAACCTTCAGAAGACTGAAGATCAGCATCTATACATCCTTGCTGGACATCCAGCTATTAAATTACATTCCATGATTACTAGTTGAAATGTGAAATGCTTACATAGAAGATGGGTATCAATCTATTACTGTGCAAAATTACCTTAAAAATTGTTGAATTCCATTTCTACAGTACAAGAAGGAAGATTACCTGATTTCCCCTTTCAATCTGTCCCATTCCCTGCCTTGGATTATATCTTCTGAGAAGTTTTACTGACTAACAATCAATTTAATTTGACTCCTCCTGTTATATGTGGTGGCTGGTTTTTTTACTCCATCACTTAGTGTATTTCACAGATGCAGCTATTAAAAAAAAAAACAAACAAAAAACAATGAACAAAACACCAGCCCGCTTTTAAAGTTACAAAACTACAACACAGGCTTCCTAGAGAGGTGATCGATGCCCCAAACCCGTCAGCATTTGAGCAGCATTTGGACAATGCCCTTAATATCATATTTAACTTTTGGTCAGCCCTGAAGTGGTCAGGCAGTTGGACCAGATGATTGTTGTAGGTCCCTTCCAACTGAAATATTCTATTCTAATCATCAGTAAACAGCACTCAAAAGAGCAAAGCCATTGTCTGAAAAGCAGTGTTGCTTTTAAGACAGAAATAACAACAAAAAACCCCAACATAACATACACCATTAAAATCAGACAGGAGGAATGTACATCAGTGTCAACTTATGTGATGTTCATATAAACATATCCAAAAAGGTCTGCACTCAAAACCAGCTGTAAGAACATGTTTTAGTTAACTTGGTACACACCTACATAAGTACTCAAAACCTTCTTGACAGGGATTAAGCTAAGACATTTTTAAAATGAAAAACATTCATCATTCTCTGTGTGTTTTCACACCATCTCCATGAAACCTTCAGAAGGGGGGAAAATAAAACTTCTTAAGCACAGGATAAAAATAATGCTTTTTCTGGTATCCAAAGTCCTCCTTCCAGCTTGAAAATATTTTTTCTGTTCATATTTAAATACAAATATTTTAATAATATAGACAGTTTTTACTTTTGATCATGGTCTATAAGGGTTATATCATTTACATATCATCAAGTTTGAAGTTCATCAGTACACGCTTTCCCAGAGAAGCTGCAAAAATGGTGTGCACAATTTGGAACCAAATAAACGCTTGTCAGCAGCCTCTCATCTCCGAACACAACTCTCTTCTCTTCCACAGAACTTTTTCTATCTCTGTATACCAAAAAGGATAGAACTGAGGACATTTTTAACTCTGAAACACCTGGAAACCAAGAGGACAACAATCACCGAAGGAACAAAAGGCTGTCCAACAACAACAACAAAACCCACAACAAGATTTACAATGGGAAGTAGCAGCGACCCTTGAACTGCTACTTGCAACTAGGAAGAGAGAGAAAAATCAAAATGGGCAGCCTCTATCCTTGAGAGACAAAATATGAACCCCTTCTTCAAGCATCTGAGCTTCTGATGCCACTGGAGAGGAAAAAAGCCTTAAAACACGGAAGTCAGAAGAGAGAGGCTCTAAATGGGATTTTTTTTTTTTTTCAAAACATTGCTAGAATTACAGACTTAAAAAAAAAAAAATATATATACCAACAAGAGTAAGACTTAGTTCTGCAAAAGCACTTCAAGCAGAAATTGAAAGATATTACTTCAAAATCTGATTAGTTGTTTTAAGCCTTTTTCAAATTCACACAAGTTTAGGCTACTGCATGCACAAAACAAATTCTGTCAAGAACACTATTTCATTTTCACACCAGCAGCAAACTACCTGCTTAGGAAAAAATTATTTTTAGGTACTTCAGACTTTATTTCATAGAGAAAATGATATTTTAATGTTAAATTGAATACTGAAAGACTAGAAAAATGTCAAATTAATAATTATTTGTTTGGTCTTTAGATGTGGATATATGATACAGCTGAGCAAT